GTCTAAGAACATTGCATGGTCTGTATAGGGCAATCGAATTAAGCCCAGCTATATTGGCCTGCATGTTTTATTTCACCTGGTGCTCTCAACCTTGGTTTAAGAAAACTTTTTTAGTTTTCTTATAAATGTTTGTCTGTCCCCTCAGTTTTTGAATGAATACAAATGTCCAGTAACCAACCTTATTTTTCTTACTCATTTTATCTTTAGATCCTCAGCTTCAGATCTCCCTGAGAAGTTCACCCCATGATGGGAGGGATAGATTGTGTGAAAAGAGGCGGCATTCAAGCCCTGCCACAAACAGTTCAAATTCCCATCGACCATCCCTTAAAGACAAAAGCAAGGAAAATTTAATCCAGAAGTCTCATCACAAGCCTGACAAGCTGTCTGAAAGCGGTAATATTTATTTAAAAGAATTCTGATATGTCTTACAGGTGCTGTATTTAGGACTGCTTTGCTGCTGCGTGTGTACATGGCCAAAGCTTTTCTTTGATCTTGTTCCGACAGCTTCCTCAATTGTTACATAGGAAGTTGAACAAGATTTACGGGAACAGCAAAGCATACTAGTATAAGTGTGTACAAAGCATTCTGGTTACTTGCCGTTTGCCGAATTAAATATAATATTTAAATGCAATGAACACATACAATATAAGTTTAGATTTTCTTTGCATCCCTTTTTATTTTAGCTTTTTGAGTTCCTGACTGTTGTGCCAACATAGCCACATCTACTCACTCTGGTTCTAGGATCGTGGGTTCAATTTTTAGATTGTAAGCCCTCAGGGGCAGGGCCCTCCTTACCATCTTGTCTTGATTTTATATTGTGATTTGTAATGTCTTCCTTATATTGTAAAGCGCTGCGCAAACTGTTGGCGCTATATAAATCCTGTATAATAATAACCCCCACTACAGTAACCCTATCTAGAGCTTTACAGTCAAGCGATCGAGCGTCCCTATAGACGCTCGATTGCTTGTAACAGCAGCTATCACTGCCGGTCCCGAGATACGCTGTGCCCGATGCAGCCGGGACCGGCACGGCTCTGTGAAGGAGTTTTACAAATTGGCTTCCCTTTTTTAAAATAGATGAAAGTGGTGGCTGATTTATATTTAGTGTTTTTATTTTCCAAGCCAATATTTTGCTTTTTAACAAGACTGAAGTTTTTCTTTAAACTCTGATTTCATCATTTTTTATTTTTTTATAGTTAAAGTAAAAGAGAAGTTCAAAGACTTCTTGAGTCTAAAGTCCAAGAGAAAGAAGAAGAAAAAGAAAGCAAAGTCAGGTAATACTTGAAGAAAAATGTTTAGGTGGGAGCATTGTTATCTGAAATGGGTCTTGCATGTACTGAGGTATTACCATACAGCTCTGTTATTTACCAGGGATCCTGTCATTGTGTTCCATGGTACTGACATTCTGTTCCGTTATAGAGAACTTTAATTTAACATATACAGCAATTCTGTAAATGGCTAATGCAATGCAGAAAAATGACGGAGCCCTGCTACAATTGGAGGATCCATTAAGCTTTATCTTAAGTAGAACCTGGCCAAAAATCATTATTTTCAGATCTTGGCTGCTGTACTGCTTATGTGATGGGTGACTATAGGAAAACTACCTGCTGAAACTCTTCCTTAGCCACCTCTTCTGCCCCAGCCTGCTAATTTTGCTGATGGACCGCTTTTCGTGCACAGTATTGACTTGGCAAGACTCCCACTATATATTTACTATAAGCAAAGGACCTGTAGAATATAAAAGGTGGTAGTCACAAATGTTATGTTTGTGCACATGTTTAGGAAATTCCAAACTCTAGAAGTGATCAGATGGGTTTGTGTTTGTTTTTTTCTTTCTTTAACTGCTTGAAGACCATGTGTTTAGACCCCCCTTCCTGTCCAGGCCATTTTTCAGTATTCAGCGCTGCAGTACTTTGACTGATGTTTATTCCGTCATGCAACGCTGTACTGAAATTCATTCTATACAATTTTTTTGGGGACAGATAGAGCTTTCTTTTGGTGGTATTTTAATAACCACTACGAGTTTTATTTTTTACTATAATTAGGAAAAATGACTGAAAATGTTAGGTTTTTTTTTAACATTGTTAGAAAACATTTATTACCCAATTTTTTGGTAAGATATAAAAGACCGGGTCACGTCGGGTAAATAGACACCAAACACGTCAAGCTTTAAAATTGCGGGCACCCGCGAAATTGCAGAAAACTACCATACCCAAAATTGGCCATAGGCGACGCTTTAAAAGCTTTTACCACTCATCAGTCTAGTGTTATCAGTGATTGATGGCCCTAGAATTATTGCTCTCACTCCGACTTTCGCGGCGATATGTAACATGTGCGGCGTTATGGGCGCAATCGTCTTTTTTACACGTATGCGCTCCCGACGCATGTATGTATGGGTGGGGACTTAAAAAAAAAATTTATGTATGTTAACAGGCATCGCTGCCTGTCTTTAAATATCGGGCATTTCTCGTTCCCAGCGGCATGCGAGGGGGCGTGTCTGAGCGAACGTCCCGCTCAGATCTGGAGAGCTCCTGGCCGGCCGTTTTTTTTACTACGGCCGGCCCGGAGGTAGTTAAGTCTCTGACCTATAGAATGGCACGCTCAGAAATGTGTATTCCTAGAACACCAGATGCACCAGCCACGGAGGATTTCACACTGCATGCTGGCCTGCTTTAACAAGTAGTGGCAGGTGTTTCGTCCGAAATTGTGTGTTCTTTTGTTGCATTTACAAAAATAATAACTTGTGATGCGTTTCTACTTTCAGAACTGTCTGGTGAAGAGAACGTGGATGTTTCTAAGGAGCTCTCACCCAAAACCATACAGCCTTCAAAGCTCAACAGTGATTATAAGGCCCCATGTTCCACCAAAAGCAGCGATCAAGGGTGCCTGCGAGATACAACACTAAGTGGTACTTATTCTCCTTTTTTTTTCCCAAGGGAGGGGCACCCCTAAAAAATTTTGCAATGGGGCCCTGTGATTTCTAGTTATGCCCCGGTTTGTGTGGTCAGTGGTGGTTGGGTAGCTTGGGTGTAGTGTGGCATGGCTTATGACTGTCCCTTCACCTTCCCTACGTTTTTGAAGAGTATCTAAGTGGTAGGTCTGATAGTTTTTTTTGGTCTGTAAGGTCTCACAGACCAGCAGTTTATTAAACATACAAAGCTTCATGATATTTTAGCTGATCTAGAGCAGAGCTGTTTGCAAAACATCAGGGACAGGTCAACACAAGTGGGGTCCCCAGCTTCATACATCCAACATGTATTAGTGTGTTTGGCACTCGTGTGAAAACCAAATGCCAACTAGAATGCACATTTAATGTTTTTTTATTTCTGTATGTTTTGAGCAGATGAAGAGACGCTCAGTGACTCTTGCACAGAAAGCTTACTTTGGAGTGATGAGGACTACAATGAAGAGATCGACGTAACCCACGCTGATGATGATATCGATGAAGACGAGGAGGGCAACTGTGAGATTGTACGCTGCATGTGTGAAGTGCAGGAGGAAAATGATTTCATGATTCAGGTATGAATAGAGCAGAGAAGGGTGTGGGAAGGGAGACCAGGCATACTGGAATGTTTACCTGGATGTCCTTTCTTTGTGCAGTGTGAACAATGCTTGTGCTGGCAGCATGGTGTCTGCATGGGCTTATTAGAAGACAGCGTTCCTGAGAAATACACATGCTACGTTTGTCAGGATCCTCCAGGTATGTCAATGTTTAACTGCACCTGATAACTTTTGGAATCTACAGTCCTTTTTTTTTTTTTGTTTTTTCTTTTCTTTTTAGATATGGAAGAGTTGAGCTTAATTTGATGTAAAGACTGTTTGCTGTTTTTTTATTTAGTGTTTGTGTATAGTTTGTAATTCTACATGTGCATGCATGAGAGCAGCCATATATGTTAATAATGCTCTCTGGTTATGCTTTCTACTCTGCGTTAATAGCAAAGCACAACCTTCTTCTAGCGAGTCTCACATTGCAAGTCTGAGTCTTCAGACTTATTTGGGGGGAAAGCCTTTTAAAGGAGAACTATGAGGTGAGTGCTTTTCACTCGCCTCATAGTTCTAGCCGACCTGTGACAATGAGACTGTCACAGGTCGGCTCGATAGATCGGGAGGTGAGCGAACACATACGCTCACCCTCGCTCATGTCACTCATGTTCGCTCACCCTCTCGATCATGTCACGGCTCTCTGCCGTGACGGAGGGGCTGGATTTCCCCCCTCCCTGCTCCGATCCGCCAGCGCTGACTGGCGGAACGGACGGGGAGGGGGCGGGTACAGCTGGCTCTGCCTTTTAGATGGGCAGAGCCAGCTGTCAGTCACACAGCTGGGCGGATCCCAGCACAATTGTCGGGATCCGCTTCAGCTGCGGCGTCTCAGTATACGGCGAGCAGTTGCTCGCCGTATACTGCGGTTTCTCAGTATACCGCGAGCTACAGCTCGCGGTATACAGAGCCTAGGGTGACGGGAGGACGCTAGTTTGTGTCCTCCTGTTACCCTAAGGAGAACTATGGGGAAAAGACTTAACCCCATAGTTCTCCTTTTAAAGGAGAACTATGAGGTAAGTGCTTTTCACTCACCTCATAGTTCTAGCCGACCTGTGACAATGAGACTGTCACAGGTCGGCTCAGTAGATCGCGAGGTGAGCGAACAAATACCGGGTTCGCTCACCTCTCGATCCTGTCACGGCTCTCTGCCGTGACAGGGGGAGGGGCTGGATTCCCCTCTCCATCTGCGAGCGCTGACTGGCGGAACGGACGGGGGAGGGGGCGGGTACAGCTGGCTCTGCCTCTAGATAAGCAGAGCGAGCTGTCACTCACGCATCTGGGCGGATCCCGTCGTCTAAGTCGGGATCCTCTCCGGCTGCGGTGTCTCAGTATACCGCGAGCTGTAGCTCGCGGTATACTGAGCTTAGGGTAACGGGAGGATGCTAGTTTGTGTCCTCCCGTTACCCCAAGGAGAACTATGGGGAAAACCACTGACCCCATAGTTCTCCTTTAAAGGACATTAGCCTTTGCAGGTGATAACTTATCTCCTGTAGTTATTAGTGACACTGTCTCCATGACCATGCAGGGTTCTTTGCAGAGACACTTTTATCCTGCATGGTTAAGGTAACCTGTTTAGTACAATAAAATTTTAGATGTTAGTTATGCAGTTGAGTTACTTTAGGCACCGGCTCCGGTTGTGCTCAAGTTCTCATAACGCGGTACCATTCTGTAAGCAGAAACGTTTCCATGAATCTTTTTTACACTAGTGTAGTAACTCAAGGCATCCAATCAAAAAATAATTAGTCTAGCTTGACCCAATTTTTGATTTTAAACTTCCACCAATGCTAAATGGTCTTGTTTAAATAAAAAATAAAAATATTTGAATATGGGTTTGATTGCTTCCTTACAGGCCAGCGTCTGAGTCTGAAGTACTGGTACGATAAGGATTGGTTAAATGAGGGTCATATGCCTGGCTTGTCCTTTTTAGAAGAAAACTATTCTCATCAGAATGCAAAGAAAATTGTGGCCACCCACCAGCTCTTGGGAGATGTGCAGCGAGTAATCGAGGTTTTGCACGGTTTGCAACTGAAAATGAGTATATTGCAGTAAGTAATCTCACGTGATTGTATCTATTCGGTCTTAAATCATATAGCATACAATAGATTATGGCACTGAACATGTATAAAAAACATGTTCTTCCAGTGTAGCATTATTAAAGGCAGTGTGTCCTGTATGTCCCTCTCTCTCCTTGCCCTGTACACTATGCTCAAGGTTGTACGATATACATTTTCTAATGGCAGAAATGTCCAATACGGGAATATTGCAACAAGACCACATATGGGGCTGTCATGAACAATCAAAAAAAAAGAACTGATGTAGGTATACCTAAAAGCAACGTTCCTGCTTTCTCTTATAAAAAAAAAAGAAGAAACCTCTGCACGGTATGGGCATGATATACCAGTTCTCCACAGGGTTATCCTGGAGCTGGTTCACATCCTACAACATCGTGGCAGAACTATAGCTCTAGTCTTAGGCAGGTCTAGGAGGAACTTCATGCACCCATTGTCTCTTGAACACAAGGAAACCTGTTGTGGAAAACTACATAGACCTTTCCTTCTGAAAATCCTAAACTTTCCATGTGCCGCTCCAGATGAAATTAGAAACCACATTCCATAGTTCCATCTTAAAATGCTGGCTCAGCTTGTGTCCATGGAAGCAAATCTACCATCAAAAGGAACACCACACACTGAGATGCAAAATTATGTTGTTTTATTTAAATAGCCAGCAGGAACAAATCTGAGTTCTATTGTCATGTTTTATGCTAGGCACAACAATTTCTTGAAGAAATTCTGAAAATGATGGTTTCCCAATTGTCATGATCATTAGTGGCTTCAGTACCTTCTACATTTCTGCCTTGGAATAAGTGTGAAGATCATGAATTCTGACATCAGTCTGAATTTCCTGCTCTGCATGCTTGTTCCAGGTCAGTGTATTGTAGCCAATGACAACAAGGCTAGGAGGTCAGCAATAGCACCTCCTAGTGCTCTGTGTACAGTTCTGGGCTAAAACATATTGTCTACATACAAAAAGGGTGATCTTTGTTTAGTTCTCCCAGTTCTATGCAGTAATCTAGAATTAAACAACTTCTGCACTGCATGTCTGTGCAGCATTCGACTGTAATGTTAACTGGTCTCTGCAGCTCGGATTGTGCAGGACTGGTCTTGTGTCCATGCCCTTGTAGTACTCCGCATGCATCCTTTGATGACCTGGCCTGCTGGATCCCTCCCACGGCTCTGCTGTCTATACAGGCTATGTGCAGTAGAGTGATTTATGTCACTGCTATTTTGACAAGGTGATATTTGGGTTTGCAAAAGCATTTGGTGCACACATGGACTTCTATCCTTTTGTGGCTTTTGAGGAATATATCGAAGTTAGAATTTCTGTGCCTGTAGTTGAGGTTTAGGATTTTTTTTTTTTTATGACACCGTTATCAGTTAGGACTGTAATGCTACAATTAAGGGGTGTAAGTAAAGAATATAACTTCCTTTACAGCTTTGTTACTAAGGAGTAATCTTGTAGATTAATAATTGTCTCTGAATTAAACAGGAGCAAAGAGCACCCGGATCTGAAGTTTTGGGGCCAGCCCTGGAAGCAGCATGTGGTGAGCGATAAATGTTACATCCGACGAAACGTGGAGGAGAACTCGTGTAAAGAAGATTCCACGAATTACAGGACTTACAATGGTGCCGCAGATAAGCCTTCCCCCATTCCTTCTGTAGAGGAATCTTATATCACCAGCGAGCACTGTTATCAAAAACCTCGGACCTATTATCCTGCAGTAGAGCAGAGACTAGTTGTAGAAACAAGGAGCTCATCCTTGGACGGAGGTGTGGACCGGATACGGCAGAGCAGGGAAGACTCCATAGCAGAAAGACTTGGGTGGGAACTGGACAGAGAACTATTGAAATCAGAGAGCGAATCTAAACATAATTACTGTAAGGTGAGATGATCTTGTAACTGGCATCACATGCTGCGAATCATTCTTCTTAATGCTAATGATCCATTTTGAAAGTTTACTTTTTTAACAAAGTTTCAAGTTACACCAATATTCAGGGTGTAACATGAAAAATGGTCACAGTACAACCCCCCCCCCCCC